CCTCCTTCCTGTGTATAGCGCCAGGCCCCTTCACACCTTGTGATGGGCATGATGTATGTTTGGTCTGCGTTGCAACATTGATTGGGCTAGTCATTGATATTCTAGCATCCTGCTATGCTATCTTTCACTACGTGATAGGGGTCAGTCTCGGTCAGGTCAGGACTTGTATCTAAAGTCTTCCCTGCGCTATAAAGCACCATTTTGTATGTATCGGAATGCACATTGCTTGTTGAGATTCCACTTGCACTGCACTGTCCATTTAGTCCTTTTCATCACATTGTGGATCCTCGGGTTTACATGTACATCGCCCAACAGGGCATGTAACAGTTGGTATCGGAACACCGCACGTGAATCAGGACAACCTGATCTGACACGTGTGCGGGGACTAGGTAGCTGATTAGTTTTGATTGATTGATTAGAGCACACTAGTTAACCCCCAAAATCACGATTTTGACCTCACTGTCAAAAATCGAATTTTTCTTTTCTTTTCTTGGATTTTGTTTTCCCGCTATTTCTGTTGTGGAAAATCGCAATAGCGCAACATCTGAAATTTCTGTTTTCGTTTTTCTTCTGAAAATTCAAAATTTCGTTGTTAGAAAATCCGGAATATCTTTTTTTGACAATTCAAAATTTCGATTTCTGTTTGCAATTTTCCCGTTATTTGGAAGTTCGGAATATTTTTTTTCCGAAACCTGTTTTTTTCAAAGCGGTATGGAAAATCCCTCTTGAAGTACCATTTTCCAAACTGCGAATACTCTCATCTGAGTAAGTCCGAATGCTGGTTATTTCCTTTCGGAATTTTTTTATTCGCAGTTCTATGATTTTCACTACCTGATAATCATTCGCAGTCTGAAGTTCGAATTTTTTTTTTTCTCATTGATAATTTCACACTTACAAGCGAGGTTGGGAGACCTACTGAACTTGCAAAACTCGGGATTTTTATTTTGTCGGTTTTTTTTTTTGCAATGTTCAAACTTTTCTTTTTTGATTAGTGGCTCCTTGTCCGGGCAATTTCATGTTTGTTGGCAATTCAACAGCAGCGCCAGCACGACGAGGCAGCAGCAAAGGCTGCCGATGACGAACGAGTTCAACGTCACGAGAAGATATTCAGTGGAGAGCGAGCTTTGCTCACAATGGTAGCAGACTGGCGGGCCGAGGCCGAGAATGGCAATCTGGAAGAGAGTGGAAACAAGATCGCTCTCCTCCTTGGCCATCTCACGGACCTCCTGGCCACATGCATTACACAGCAGGAGGACATCCACAGCCTCGACGACGCGCTGTCTCAAGTCCACAGCCGTCTCCACCAGCTGGAGCAGCGACCCGTCGCCGCCCCCATTGCCAGCTCTTCCAACACCTCCGATCGCCTTGAGGCATTGGAGATTGAGGTCGGATTCCTCAAGGACGGCGTGCAGTTACAGCGAACCGCAACGCAACAGTTGGAGCAGCGGATCTGTACTACTGCCAACCACTCGAGCTCGGAACCGCACGAGACAACTCCAAAGTTCGATGGGCAGGAGATCTTCTGCGACTCGACGAAGACAGATCCGATTCCATGGTTCTACAAGTTCGAGCTCACGTTGCAGCTAATACTACGTCAGCGCGCACAAGTATCACGCGTACTTATACTCCTGCTCGGGGGGCGCGTGCCAAGCATGGTTGGACAATCTCTTGTCCAAGTACAAGGTGGTAGCTGCCGACTTGCATACCAAGATCAGCCAGGATGATCTAAAGGCGGCATGCCATAAGCGGTTCCAAGTAGAGCCGCCAGAGATCAAGGCAATCGGAAAGCTGACGGTCTTCGAACAAGGCACGTTGCCGAGTGTTGACTGGATTGCCGAGTACCAACGCTTGATGTCCGTCCCAGACATTCAAATGGGCTTCAAAGCCATCAAACACTACTTCATCTCGAGATCATGTCCGGCGTTGGCAATACCTTGACTCACGTCGAGGACACCCTAATGACAAAGGCAGAACTCTTTGACAAGGCCACACAGATTATTGTCACGAACAAGGAGGCCAAGAATCTCTCGCGTTCTTCTGCACCAGGCCTAAGCAAAGATCAGCATCGGTCGTACGTGGCCGTGGTCGCGGCGGCAACGCCAAATGACCAAACTAGCGAGGCCGTGTCTGCCAATGAAGGGGCCAGACTCACAGCCGCCCGAGAAGGTGGCCGCCCCGGCAAAGGCCGAGGACGCGGCAAGGCAAAGACAAACACCGCATCTAGCCCCGGGCCCGCGCAGCAGCTCCAGCCCCATGGTCCCACTATGGTCTCTCCTAAACGGCCTACAAAGCTCGAACGAGATTCCACTATTGCCTATGGTGCAACAACGATCTCCATGAGACAGTGGCCTGCCAGTCGAAAGGCAAGGGCAAATCGGGAAACTAAGCACCGCCGGGAGTGACTCGATGACACTCTCGACGCCTTTGGTACCGGTCACTTCGCGGGTGACCGCCCTTCGTTTCGAGGCACATGCAGAAGTCTATAGTCCTCCTCTTCTTTATTCTTTCGAGGACTATGCTGCCCGGCTCGTTCCTACGCTGGGTACTCACGCTCAAGGACAAGACATGTTTGCGGCATCTTCTCCGTCCGGCAGCGGCGACTTATCGTCTCCAAGTGGTTTGGGGTTCAGCATGGCTTCCTCTCCCGACCACGGGCCGCTTGCCGCGACTTATCGTCTCCAAGTGGTTCGGGATTCTGCCCGGCTCGTTTCGAGGTATTGGACC